TACTTCAAAACTGGTGATTGCTGCTGATGGCCGCGATTCTTTTTGCCGACAGGCCTTGGGTGTTGGTGTAGATGTGCATGATTATGACCAGGTGGCAATTGTCACCGCGGTACAGACATCCAAACCGCACCGTCAGGTTGGTTTTGAGCGTTTTAGTCCTTTAGGACCGTTGGCGCTCTTGCCACTTCCGGGTGAGTATCGACGTTCTGTGGTCTGGCCAGTTAAAAAGGGGACTGAACATGAGTGGCTGGGTGAAGAAAATGATCAGCATTTTTTAAATGCCTTACAACAGACTTATGGTGACCGGGCAGGGAAATTTGAAAAGACCGGAAAACGCTTCAGTTATCCATTGTCACAGGTTCTGGCCCATAAACAGGCAGTTGGCCGGGTAGTTTTGATGGGCAATGCTGCACATACACTCCATCCTGTGGCCGGTCAAGGCTTTAATCTGTGCCTGCGTGATGCGGATGTCTTGTTGCGTTTTCTCGGCAGTCATCTGACAGTATCTGATGATCTGGGTGAGCCAGAAGTTCTAAAAGCTTATGAACAGGCCCGCCTGACCGACCAGCAACGGGTCATCAAGTTTTGTGATTCGGTAGTACGAGGTTTTAGTAATCAGAATCCGGTTCTGAAACTGCTACGCAATACCGGTCTGATTGCTTTNTAATCTAATTCTTAAGGTGTTGGATTTATACCAAGTTATAATAAAGCCATATTTAATTCTTTTGGATCTAACCATCCATTATTATTATTATCAATTGAGTTAAATAAATCTTCAATCTATTAATCTAAAGTAGGTTCATTATTTTCATTAACTTCTTTTTATAATCTGACTGGTTTTTATAATTAAGATTATACAGGTTATTGTTCATCATTATTTTAATGTTCAGAAACATTATCTTCTTATTTATTTTCAGCTATCTATCTTTTATATTCTTCTATATAATTCTCTTGTTGTGAAAGTTATTATAAATCTTATCGTTAAAATTATCGTTTATCATTATTTATAGATTTATGAACATTATGAACATTGATTGATCTTTAACTAGAAGAACTTGACATATTAATATGTTATGAACTTCCTTGTTATTATTATTATGATTGAAAAATATTTTAATGAGGATTAATTTGATTTTATAATTCAGATGAACCTTAAGAACCATCTATATGATCTTAACTTGAATTTAATATAATCTATGTTTTTTTTTTATTTTATTCAAGTATATTAATTCTTAATGCTTTTGCTAATGCAGCTAAACTTGTAGTTCCTTAAATAAATAATTTTTCTTTTAATGCTACTAATTCATCTATGCTTATATCAATAATTATATTTTTAACAACTTCTTCAAAATTAGGATATGTAATAAATTTTTAATCATCTGCCTTTGCAACAAAATCACCCCATAATCCTTTTTCTCTAATTTCTCTTGTAAGAAAACTTGAAATATCATTGTATACATTTTCTAAATTTTAAGTCATTTATTATATATATAATTAGTATATTAAATTTGTATAGAAATTATATTGTAATAGTGAATTATCAAAATAGAAGTTAGATGTTTATTCATATTGAATATTAAATATATTTTAAAGATTAAAATTAAAATGTCTGGTTTTATGAGATTAACAAAAATTCATAGATTAATGTAAAAGTCAGAAGAGAATATGAAAAATTTAAAGTCTTTATATGCACCTCAATTTTATAGAGGATATGATGACGATTTAACTGTGATTGGTAGAATGAAGTATTTTCAATGATCTTATTACTTTAGTTGGTTAAAGATTAAACAACCAAAAATGTATCCTACTTCTAAAGAGGAAGAAACTTTCTAAGCTAGAAATATATAAAGATTCCCTGAACTTAGAGATAATATGTCAAATGAAATAGATCAAGTGCTTGAATACATGAAATTAAAGAATAATGATAAATTATCTAAAACATTAAAGAATGTTAAAGGAAATAATGTTGATGAGAAAATATTTAGAGCTATGGAATATGACATAAATTCATTTAAGTAATTAGAAGAAAAGTGATTTTATTCAAAAAAATATAGTAAATATATAAACCACATTCAACATTAAGTCTAATACTAATTTTATATATAATTTATTATTTATTCACAATTATCTTTTTATTTGTTAATATTTTTATCAAATAATAATGATCCAATAATTAAATTATCTATTATTTCATCTACTATAGTTTATAATTATCTAACTATAGATTTATATTATTTTTATTTTATTATTATATTCAATAGATGTTTTATATTTATATGGATATATTCTTAATAATAACAAATTAGAATTATAAATATAGATTGATAATAAATTTAAATGATTATGAAATATCACAATTTGAATATATTAGGATGTTTGACAATGCCAGAAGGATTTGGTGATTTACTTCTTGGTCTTGGACTTAAAGAAGGTCTTGATTTACGAATATTACCATCAGATGGAATTTAGAGAAGCATTTATTTTTATTATGGTGTTCTTATGTCACTATTAACCCAAGGATGATATTCAACATCTGTTATTCGAGGACGTTATTCATGATTCTTTTCTAACATTTAAGTTATCAAATTAATAACTTCTTCGCTAAAATTATTAGGTGGTAATGTGAGATCCTTATTAATAATGCTAGTAATAATATCTTATTATGATTTTCCATTAAAAGGTACTTTACCAAATAGCATTTTATAAAGAATAATACCCATAGCCCATATGTCTACAGATGTACTTACTCTAGTAACTTTACCACATAGAATTTCTGGTGCCATATAATGAAGACTGCCAATATTAACATGATCATTATTAGTTGGACATTAGAGACCTGCAATTCCAAAATCAATTGCTTTTAAATCATCAGAATCTAGAGAACAAAATAATAAATTTTCCATTTTTAAATCTCTATGAACAATATTCTTTTAATGACAATAAGCTATTGCACTAACAATTTATTTAAAATATTTGCATGCTTCTTCCTCTTAAAATCTACCTTTCTATCTTAATCTTTCTGCCAACTCTCCACCTTCTAAATATTCCATTATTACAGCCATCTAAGTATTTTTTAATGCATATGAATTGAAAACCTTTACAATATTCTTGTGACTCAAAGATCTTAATACTTCTGCTTCTCTAAAATTTAGTTCTATGTCTTAAGCATTTCCCATCATTTTTATTACCTTGATTGCAACTTACTCTCCAGTTATACGATGTCTGGCCAATGTAACACATCCAAACCCTCCTTCTCCTAATTTCTTTATTGTTTCATATTGAGAAAATGGAGAATAAGGATCGAACTCATCTAAAATTAAACATCTATTTAAATTGTACCTCCTCGAGATGCATAAAATGATTAGCCATCCTTAAAAAATTTAACATCATCTTAAAAGATTTCTACTCCTTATTATGTAAAGAGTCTCATTTCTTTAAACTTTGTGAATTTCTAATCCAATTGTGTTTAAATGTCACTCCAATTAGAATTTTAAGCAATCTTCAAATCCAAGTACTTAGAAGAATCTCCATTCAAGTAGATACGAATAGACTTTATAAATTAGAGAGGAGAATCATCATATTCTTCATACATCATAAGTTAATTATATATCATTCAAGAAAATTACAAAGTAACGCACATCTTTTTGGTTTTGCTTTGTGTTTTATCATTATTCTGCTCCTTCCCGATTACAAAAATAGAATCTCATTTTTCTCTATTCTTCTTGCTTTTTATAATTTAATTAAAGTTCCAAACTTAGAATTCTTATCCTCAATATATAACTTATCATTCCTTTATATATATAATTTATAATATTTACCTTACAACAAATGCAAGATGAGTTCTACTAATCGTTATTTCACTTATCTTAACATTGCTCTCATGACCTCTTCCAACTGTCAAAGTTGTTAAATCTTTAAAATTCAATACTAGTATAGTCTAATTTTCTATATCTTCTAACACAACATGATATTTTAGATTTTCGAGATTATACAATGCTAACACGTTTGTACCTGTGTACACTATGGAAGGATAGAACGATTAGCATATTTCACATCTGACACTCTTAGCATTTATTCTAAATTTTTTGTATGTTTGTTACTCAGTACAATATTGAGTTTGTTTCGTTTACATTTTCCCAAATAGCCAAGTCTTTAGACAATCGTAATGTACGTACTTGGTACTACCACAACAACGACATAATGAAAGCAAAGGATTAGATGTGTTGCATGTATGTCCCAAACATATTCTGCACATATTTGATGACTCAAATAATGAGGCCTCTACATTTTCAATTTGACTAGCTACATTTTGGTAATGAGTCAAATGTAAGTTGTTTTCATTGCTAATGCTAAGCACTTTTAACACTTTCTTCCCTAACTTTATCACATCATTCTGTCTTATTTGTTACTCATTCTTAGACTGAATCCATAAATCTTCAATCTTATCTTTATCTCCAATAACGAATTATCCTACAATGCAGTGGCCAAATACTACCATCGTCAATTCTGACATTGAATAGAGTCCTTACTCCATCTTTTCTACTTATATTCTAATCAAAAAATGTTTCATTTTCCCCATTTCTACAAAATATTCCAGGTTCATTTATCAAATATTCTTATATTCTATAATTTTGTGATTCTCCATCAAACAATTCATAATTCGGCTTATCCCATGTTGTTATTGTTACAATAAGCTCCCCCATTTGTATTAAAAATAATAAAATTATTAAAAGGAGTATCATAGACAAAATTTATTCAGTAATATGATTATATTATACACAATTATAAATTAATACTCATATACTTCTATATATCAATTAAATTCTCAATATTGCGTAATTATTCCATATATCTCATATATTACATAGTTGACTAATCATAATATTTAATCTAACTAAGAGATATTTCATTTTTTCATATTACAGCTATCCCCTAGAAGTCAATCATAATATAAAATATATTATGCCATTTTGTTAATAAAATGTATAATACCAAATACCTTTGCCATATCCTTGATGCTGTCCAAAATACGGTGAGGTGCTTCATAAAAAATTAAAGTTTGGGTTTCATCTTTCAGTTTTTCCAGCTGCGCCAGACGCTGTGAAGACTTGGAGGGCAAGAAACCTTCAAAACTGAAACGGTCACTAGGCAAGCCAACTGCACTTAAGGCTGCAATTGCAGCACAGGCGCCAGGCACCGGTATCACTCGAATACCTTTTTCTTGAGCAGCACGTACCAGTTTAAAGCCAGGGTCACTGATCAGGGGAGTACCTGCATCACTGATCAGCGCCATATTTTCACCTGATTGTAATTTTTCAATTAAATAATCAATTTTATTATTTTCATTGTGATCATGACATGCAGTAAGGGGCGTGGTTATATTATAATGTTTTAATAATTGGGCAGACTGTCGTGTATCTTCTGCTGCGATCAGAGCTACGGATTTAAGAACATCAATTGCTCGATAGGTCATATCATCCAGGTGCCCAATCGGCGTTGCCACTACAAATAATTGAGCACTCATAAGGGTGGTTCCATGATTAATAATAAAAAAGTTTTGCTGTTGATCAGTTTGTTCAGCTTCATGCAGACAGTGCAGGCAGAAGTTCTGGTTATTCTACCTGAAACCGGCCCGCTCGCGCGAGCTGCCTCCAGTGTAAAGCAGGGGTTTATGAGTGCTTATGAAGCATCTGGCAGTCAAGAACAGCTTAAATTCGTAAACTCATACGGACAAAACATGAAAAGCCTGTTCGCCAAACATATAAAGCCCAAGACTCGGCTAGTTGTAGGGCCATTGAGCCGTGAAAAAGTAGAAGAGGCCGTCAGGCTTAAT